ACATGGGACTAATTACAATTAAATATTAAATACGGTTGCACCGTACACGCACCATGTTAGACAATAAGATTATTTTTTTTTTTTATTTTAGTAAGTTTTGTAATTAGTAGAATGCGTCAACCATGTCTTTGCATTGTTCTCACATATGCGTACAGTATTGGAATATGTATCGGAGACATTGTAGAACATACTTTTTTAAAAAGAGTAACAAATGGAGTTTCTTGCTCGTTCTTCTCCATTCGAATCTACATTTTGGAATGAGCACCTAGCTTCACCTATCTCAGTGACGGACTGACTGACAGACTATTATTTATTTTGTATTATTTATTGACGTTTCAAAAGTACCAAATTATGGTTTAACTGAAATAAATGCTTTGACTTTGACTTCGACCCTCTAACTCACCAGTCGCACCTCCGGCCACTCGACAAATAAAATAATATGATTATAAATAAATAAAAAAAATTGGCAAATAAAAACATATTCTCTCTTTAAAAATTGTTTGTCACAAATATTTCACAATATTATATTGTGATATGTGGTAATTACATGGACGCGTGTGAATTACGAATGGTACTGATACCTACCTACTGCTTAAACTGTCAAACACCAAGCGGTCACCGGTGACCGCAACCTATTGTTCTATAATTGTGTCTACAAAACCGGTACTCGACGAGTTAAGCTATATATAACCTTGTATTTTAAAAAACAGTGATTCAGTCGTTTAATTTGTCACAAAGTCTCATTACATGTCGCTCAATAATGATTATTTACTAGTAACGTAATTACACGTACCAGATACTTATGTAAATTATGATAAGCAGCTTAGTCGTATTTTTTATGCTGCCTGACACTTGGATTTTCTCCTGTGTCGTGGGTGCATTTACAAACATACAAATTCAAATACATATGACACCCAGACCCAGTACAACAATCTGTGAATCACACAATGAGCTGTTCCGTGTGGGAATCGAAACCGCGACACGTTGCGCGGCAGCCAGTTACCCAGCCACCGCACCAACCACCAACCACCAACGTGTAGTCGACTGTTTTTTAAATATAAAAAAAATCTTTTAAATATCTTAAGCCTGCGTTACAATATTTTGGCCAACCTGGGAAGGGAGCCCAACACCTTTTACTAATGCAACCACTTGATCAACGAGATAGAGTTATTATATATTAGTTTTATTTAAATGCATCATTAGCGCCATCTTTCCCTTAGTGGTAGAATTATTACCACCACCTTGAAATGAATAATATGTGCATTATATTTATAAGGCTTGTGTCGTTGTCCTTGAAAATGTAGGCGTAATCTCACGCGCGGTGGGTTTATTTCTTAGAAAGTTAAATAAGTAAAAAGTAGAAACTTACTACACGCACTGGCAATGCGCAGTGAGTAAATTTTTCGTAACTACAATTTTAATGAAAACTTCTTGTTTCTTTGGTATTAATATGAATATTTAAATAATTTAATTTCAATTTAATTGTAAAAGGATTTATTTTAATACTGTAGACTGCAGAAACAAAATTAGCGCGTATTGACCAACGCGTTTGACATTCTTAATTTCTAAACGTAAACGTCAACGACATGTCAGATTCTTTGTAATATTTTATCTGTGCTAAACGATTTTAGGTTATGTGGGAAATGTTTTCAGGCCCACAAAAATAAATATAACTTAAAAGTTTAAAAGGATATAACTAAATTACAAACATGGCTCTGATAAGAGCGGGCTTGCAACGACTAGTCAATGTATTCAATGGAGGACAAGGTAAAAAATCTAATAAATAGTGCACCATTTACGTAGCTACGGTTGCTTTGGATTTGTTTAGTTACATAAAAATATTTGTTTCTTTACAGCAGGTATACTATCAAGATTTGTTACAAGCCTATCTCCTGTTGAGTCTAAAACAGTCCCAGAAACTACAAAGGATGTGATAGCAGAATGCAATAACCTAATTGAAAAGAATGCCTCAAGAAATTTTGCAATAGTTCATTTGTTGGGTAAACAGTGGCGTGTGACTGATGGAGACCTTTTGGTTGTCGAAGGCTTCTGGCCTCCTAGCATCGGAGACAAAATCAGATTGGATAAAGTCTTAGTAGCTGGGACAAAAGACTTTTCCCTCATTGGACGGCCTTTAGTGCAACCTGGATTAGTTGATGTGACTGCCACAGTCATATCAAAGGGCCTCTCCCACACAAGAACTCATTTCAAAAAGAAGAGGAGGAAGCAATTTATGAGAATCAACTTTGTTAGGTCACCTCAAACTATTTTGAGAATTAACTCAGTGGAGATAGCAAATAAGATCAATGAAGCGCCCAAAAATGTTTTCTAGTTGTATGTTTTATGTAGATAATAAACAATAGACTTATAATATTGGTTTTATTGTAAATTTTAAAACAATTTATTCTAGTCATAAATTACTATATTTAGTTGTGTCATTAAAACATAATTTATTTCTGATTAACATTCACGGTTACATACTTAGTTCTATATAAATTAGTTTAAGTTTACATTATCACAATATTCTTGAAAAGTAACTTTATGTTCATCTTTTAAAAATCTTTTCATGCCTTTGAATAAATAAAACATTTTATTGTTTTCAAATAAATTAGAGAGCACCTTTAGAAAAATCTCATAATCACCATTTTTCTTATAAGCTGAAATTGATAGTTGAAACTCTTTATATTGATCTGCTTGTAGGAGCACTTTTATTTCTTTGACAAAATCTATCAATGATGTAGGAGGTACCTTTTCAACCACTTCAGTGTGTGAGGCTTCCCCATTCAAATTCTCTTCAAATCCAAAAGGTTTTATTTTCAACTTTTTCTTTTTTACCATTTGGTTAGGTACACTAACATCTGCAGATCTTTTATGAATAGTAACTAATGACTGTGATGATGATGACTGTTGAGATTCCGCTTGATCTATTGCACTAAAAAGGTCCTTTGTAGTATTAGGTTTAAATTCATTAACATAGGCAGAAGCTTTTGCATTTTTATAAAAATCCATAGAAAAATCTGCATAAACTTCATTTGAATTAGGATATTGGCTAACAGATTTTTTGCTAGTAGATTTTGATACAATTCTTGAGTTGGTGACAGGAAATGAAACACCACTTACATGAATTGGTCCAGAATCAGATTTGTTTTGCATTCTAGATTCACTTGGAAGCAGTGGTTTCAATCTGGGGGCTGGTAATGTTATTTCAGCATTTTTGAAAAACCTGCATATTTCACTAACAGTCTCACCAAACTTATTTGAAACACTGATGTGGTCTCTCAACCAAGCAGATAACTGGTTCTTCAGTTTTGGACTATTAAACCTACTGTCACAAAGTAATATAGCTCCATAATCATTCTGATGCCTAATGACTCTTCCAATAGCTTGATTCACTGCTCTTGTTGCTTCCAATGAGTACCATTCATCACCTGATAAAAACTGTTTATCTTTAGTCCTTAGTTCTTCCAAGTATTTCTTTTTTAGGATTATTCTGGGATCTTTAAGTGGTGGAAATGGTAAGCCTGTGATGATGACTGCTCTACCATTCATGTCAGCAAAATCTAAACCTTCTGATACTTTACCCCTACAGACAGCCATAAAACATGCTCCCCTAGTGCTGGGATCACTTATTTTACTATAATAGTCATTAATTATAGTGTTGAAGGTGTCTTTGCGCTGAGGTTCAACAAATATAGGTTTTATATTATTTATGCTGGACCAGATACCCTCATTCTGCCACATTTCTTGACATTTGGTCATAATAGGATATGATGGAAAAAATACAAGCAGGCCATCTGGAACTACACGGCAAAAGCTAAGTATAGTTCGGCCTAAAGATGAAATATATTTAGGATTGTCTCTGTTCTGGTAATTAGAATTAAGTTGCACTCCATCTGGACCCTGGCTCATTATTTTAACACATATTTGATTTGATTTTACTATGTGAGGGTTTTCCAGCTGTACTCCTATGGGAATGCCTAGTTCGGATGTTAAAGGTTTTAATGGAGCTAGTGTGCCACTTGTTAGTATGATGCTCCTCACATTCTGTTCAATTAATTGTTTCATACCAAAACCTGGACTGAAACACCAGTAACTCAAAACTCTTTCAGCAGACTTAGTACTTGTTGTTTTTAATGCTCCCCAACTGTCAGTCTTTTTATTATTCTTTTTGTCTTCAACTTGTACATGAACTTTGTAACACATTTTTACTCTCTCCTTATATGAGTGTGTTGTCCCACTAAACACAACATTTAGTAAATCAACTATCTTCTGCAAGCCAACACCTTTGCGCTGAAAAGGCGAAGCACTTGCTGTAGACAAGTACTGTATGAGATTCTCAATCATTGTAATAACTGCCATTTGATTATGATCCCTGATCTCAGCTTTTGATAACAATTCAAAAATAAAACCACCAGGGTAAGTACTTCCTTCACTTCCAACAGTGATCTCATCAATGGCCTTCTCTAATGCCAGCATCATTTCTTTTAAAACACATAAATCATCACAGGTAAAATCTTTGGGCTGGCTGTCCACTGTCATATCCATTTGATCCTCATTAGCTGCTGCCTCACCAAAAGATCTCATGACATGTGTAATCTCATCAATGCATAAAGCAACATCTGTTGTTCTAATCTGCAGAGATGCTGACTCTTCACACATTTTTTCAACATTGTGAGCTTCATCTAAAATAATAATATTATTTAAAAGTTCTACACCATTAGCTCTCCTTGGTTTTGGATCTAGAATATAATTGTAAGGCATGAATATAATATCAGCATCTTGTTTCAATTCTTTTGACAAATAATAAGGACAACACTTGAGCTTTTTTCCCACAGTGACTAAGTCTTCTATGTCTAATATTTCATCACCTTTCACAGCCCTATCATCTTTCTTTGACTCAACATTGTTATAAAAGTGGCATGTTCTTGATTTTACTCTCAGCTGGCACATGTGTACTTTGTTCATGTTATTTGTTTCCTTAGACACTTCAGGATGAATACACATTTGGTCTCTCGACCCCAAAACCGTGGCTTTCACATGCTTGTAACTGGACCGCTTCAATTCTTGCATTGCTTGTGTCAGTTGAGAATGTGTTCTTGATGAGTATATTATCTTTGGCATTCCCCATGATGTATTATCCTTTGCTTTACCTGCTCCAGATTTCAAAGAATCTTTCAGTGACCCACTAAAGTTACTATGCTCTGAAAAGTTGCCAACTTGTGCATTCATTTGTAATTGGGCCTTTTTAACTAGTAACCAGGCTAATGAAGAACATAGTAAACTCAGGGTCTTTCCGGTACCTGTGGGAGACTCCAGCAAGGCGTTGGTATTATTCTGCAGGCTTTCTATCACACGTTCCATGTATACCTTTTGAACTTCATACGGTTCAAATGGAAAAGTCACTGGTATACCACAAATCATTACTTCAGGCATGATTGCTGATTTTGTTTACACACTTTTTCACTAAATACAATCAAAATTAAAAATACAAGTTTCAGGTTCTAACATCTCATGTTATTCAAACTGAAGCACAACCAAATAGCAAATAAATAAAATAATAACCCCTTGATTGATTTCGACTTCGTCTCGTCCTTCAATCAAGACAAGAATGAAAATGAACCTTTTGGCGCCAAAGAAAAGGAAACGTTCGAAAGTTTCGAAACAAATAATAAAATATTCTTAGAAGTTACAAGTCCTTACATGCCAATAATTTAATTTACATCGCTTTTCTATAATATTACATCACTTTCTAACAATAATTTTGAATAAGTTTTAAGATTTAAACTAATGTTAATTCAAATTAATTTAAAGAATATCACAAACGCAGCATAGACGTATTACGCATTGTTTAGATATATGGTGAAATGTCAATGTCAACCATATGTTTTTATTAACCTCAAAATTCATGTTTTTGAGGTTTGATCGCTTTTGTATTGTTTTTATTCATACATATGACCGGTAAAATGAAAATTAATGTAGAACAAGTGTATACATCTGTTGCATGCAACCGCACTCCGGAAATAATCGACTGGAATGGACAAGGAGTCATTTGTTTTGGTGCAACAAACTCTGTTGTTATTTACGATACGGTGAGATGCAATGTTTTTAATGCATTTGTTAACCTGAGAAATAGCTATATCATTATATTACTGGTAATTATAACCAGTATATTGGTGCCTTAAATGCCTAACAATACATTTCGGCTAATTAGAAACTTACGTAAATAAAAATTAACGGATTTATTAATTGACATATTTTTTTTAAAAATAACTCTTACTTAATTCCAGAATCTCAGAGGCAAAGACCCTCTAAAAGTATTGAGCCACCATAAATCTCAAGTAAACACGGTGAAATGGCTGCGTAAACCAGATGGAAGCTCTACTGAACTGATCTCTGGGTCTGCGGACAAGACTGCTGCTATATGGACCTTGGAAGACGGAGTGTGGAAAGTCACCAACAGCCTTGCTGGACATACAGATGGTGTCACTTGTATACATGGCATTTACAATGGAGATGAGCTTCTGGTTTATACAGGATCCATTGATTCTACTGTCCGTGTATGGGAGAGGAAAGATGGTAAACATTATTCCATATTATATTCCAATTAGAATCTATGAACTATCTACTATTTTGCCAAAATAATTTATAAATATCAAATATCGTGAAACTACTGAGAATTTTAAAATATAATATATAATAAGTACAACAACTCAGTCAAACTAAGCAACAAATTGCAATATCATGAATAAAGTTTTAAATTTTCTCATGTAACAAATTGATATATTTTTTATATAAAGTGTTGGAGAGTCATGCTTCGGCACGAATGGGCCGGCTTGACCGGAGTTATACCACAGCCTCACAGAAAACCGACGTGAAGCAACACTTGCGTTGTGTTTCGTCGTGTGAGTGAGGTTACTGGAGGCCCAGCTCCCTCCCCTTCCCCAATCTCCCTAATCCCCAAAAGGCCGGTAATGCACTTGTAACGCTACTGGTGTTCCAGGTGTCCATGGTCAACACCGATTGCTTACCATCAGGTGATCCGTCTGCTCGTTTACAGCATATGCCATAAAAAAACCTATTCTAACTCTTTGTTACAGGTGTCACTGTACACAAGCAAACAATAAACTTGAACTCTGGTCTCTGCCTGACACTCCATGCACACATCCTACCAACAACAAACAAGCCTATACTGTTCTGTGCCCTGGACGACCATAAGATCCATGTGTTTGTTGGGGACGAGTACCACAGGGCTCACACATTGACTGGACATGAAGACTGGGTGAGGGGACTTGATGTGCAAGATGTTGGTGAGTTTGAATTATGAAATGGGATTTTTGTTATTGTTGAACTATGCTACTTGTTAACTGTAGC